CGAGAGGTCCCTCTTCCCGGAACTACAACTGGACCGCTTGTGTGTTGAGATGTTCAAAGTCCACACCAACTCAAAGCAATGAGGTCAGCCTACTTCCAGTTTTCCCTGGCAGACTTTGACAACTTTCTCACCATCTCAGACATCCCCATTGCCACAAAAGATAACATAGCTTCAGACTCCTCTGGACTGTCCGGGAAGAACCCATTCGAGGACAGGGACAAGGCTAACTTTGACTCTACCCTGACCAAGCTTGACAGAGCCTTCTGTCACGGTCTCCACTGCTCCGCCTTCCTGTCTCTCATATTCAAGTGCCTGGCACATGCCTGCGAGGAAAATTCGCCTGTCGCTCCAGACCTACATGTAGCAGCACTCTGTGCTGTTGATGAGAATGTCAACACCATCTTTTAGCCCTTTGCATGGACCTCTACACTGGCTACATCTGCCAAAGATCCAACGCGCTTGAGACCATGAATATTCCCTACAAGGGAGTCAAGTCAAAACTCAAGGATCTCATGCTTTGTTGCAAGGATTTCTTCGCTGGAAATTCATGGAAATTATGGAGGCAGAGGCAAAGCGAATTGACACCACCCACAAGCTTACCCTTCACGAACCTCCACCAACTCTGCACCAGCACCTAGCAGACAACCGCAAACTCAGCCCTCATGACAGGTCCCACCCCACAGAGATTCCGGCTCCTTCGATCCTTTTGTCTGCCCATTTAGCCATTCCAGTCGCGGACGTCCCTCCTCTTGTCAACCTGTAAAGTCATCATTGAAGAGCCTCAAGGGAAGAACATCTGGCCTGCGCTACCCCTGATCCTTGGGGGGCAGGCGCTGACGACCTCACAGATTCTTTTGCAAGCCCTGATTCTTTTGCAAGCCCCGAACCTGTCGGGGGACACCTTCAATTTTTCACTGGGCACTGGAGAGACATCACATCGGGACAGTTGGGTACCCATGACTGTCTCCCTCGGAAACTCCTCAAATTCACGAGCGCCCTTGCATCCGTCCCTCTTTCCATTTAACTCCAATCCTTTCCGAGAGAGCCATTGGAGTCCGAAATAGATGTTCTCCATCTGAAACGAGTCATCTGCCCTGCCCCCATGTCACTTCGGAATGAGGGCTTCATCTCCACTTTCTTCCTCACCCCAAAGAAGGAACCCGGCAGGTGGAGACCCATAATAAACCTCAAACCTCTGAACAAGTTCATCCGCCCGAGGAAATTCCACATGAAGACACTTCAAACAGTTACCCAGTCTCTCTCCATTTCTTCTTAGGCATTGTCGATAGACCTGAAGGATGCCTATCTCTACATTCTGATTCACCCTCAAGATTACAAGATCCTCTGTTTTCTACAATGGGAGCTTGTTCGAGTTCATGGCACTTCCCATCGGCCTATCCACATTGTTGAGAGTCTTCGTCTGAGGGGCGAAAATCGCATCGCCCATCTCTGGAAGCGGGACATCATGCTGTTTCAATATCTGAACGGCTGGCTTATTGTCAGCAGGACTCTAGATGAAACAGCGGTTTCTACTCACCTCACCTGCGACCTTACCAGCTGTCTTGGGTTCCTGGTCAATCACAAGAAGTTGAGACCAACTCCCACTCAACAACCAACATACCTGTGGGACGGTCTTCAATCTCCAACAGGATATATCTCACTGACGAGCGAACACATGGACAATCTCCTGGAATGCAGGAACCTCTTTTCTTCTGTTCAGTCAGCCACCGCCTGAGCTTGGCTTCGCCTCCTTGCGCTGATGGCCAGCATGGTGGATCTGGTTCCCCTCTATTGATTGTACATGTACATGCGACTGCTACAACTCCGTCTCCTGGCATTCTTCAGGCCAAAATGGGACCTGATCAGACTTCCTGTTCCCTTAATGAACTTCACTTGCCCTCACCTCTGGTGGTGGCTGATAAGAAGTCACCTCTCTCTGGGTATTACCTTCCTCAGAGGAGCCTGGAAGTGACAACAACCACAGATGCATCTCACCTCGGATGGGAAGCTTCCCTACCTGCACTCCAAGCATCGGGAACCTGGGAACCCTGACTCCCAGGGAGTCATATCACTGTGCTGGAGCTTCAAGCAGCATTCAATGTACTACAACACTTTCACAGAAGCATCAAGGGCAAACGCGTCCTGATGCACTCGGACAACTCCACAGTAGTAGCCTATACCAACTGTCAGGGAGGCCGTCATTCTCCTTTTTTATGCCTCTTTACCAGGCTAATATTCCTGTAGGCACAAGACCAAGGAATTGAATTCCTAGTGGCCTACATCCCAAAAGTGGACAGCTCAATCGCAGACACCCTTGGGGAAAAGTATAACCAACAGAATGGACACTGCACCGCGGCATGGCAGAACAGATCTTCGCCCAAGTCGAAAAACTGAACATTGACCTCTTCTCCTCAGCGTAGAATGCTCAACTGCAAGTATTTTGCATCAGATTTCATCACCCACAGGCCTTAGCAACAGATGCTCTCCAGATCAGCTGGAAAGGGTTGCAGGCCTACTCCTTTCCGTTGATATCCCTGATCCTGACAGTACTCTCCAAAATCGAGCGAGAGCATTGCCGATTTCACAAAATACTAAGGGTTCCTTGTGAGATCTTTGTTGGAATTGCTTGTAAGAACCACTGGTATACTTTCTTTTTAGTATCTGGCAAAGATTTGTTCATTTGCCTAATCAAGCAAATCCAAAATCTTTTCAGTACACTGGTAATTTTGAACAATGGGGATGTCTATATTGGCCGTGTTGCAACTTTCTCTTCAATTGGACTCTGTTTTTGTTATCGTTCATTATGTGCATGTTTGTTAATAGTCACGTTTGTACAAAAGGATTTCAGCATGAAGAATGTCACCATAGTTCCAACATGTTGACATGGAGACCCCATTCTGTAATTGACCTAAGTCTCACACCATCATTTTGTAAATGTCTTTTGGTCTTACTCTAATGCATAATTTAGGGTAAAATAGGGCTTTCCAGATTCAGCTTAGTGAGAGCTTGTCTTGAATTAAGTTATTCACCCACCAATAAAATTCAGATCTTTTAAAGTTTGACCATTGCAATGAGGGCTCTTAGTTGCTCTTTGAATTTGAAGACTGCTTTCTGTTTCTAGTGCTTTGCAGTGCAGTTGTATGTTCATAGGAAATGTCTGGCTCCATGGCAACCAGGCTATCAATCGACTACCACATCCTTTGTGTCAATGGAGGAATAAACCTAAAACATAATGTCGTAACGCAATGCTTACTGCAATGCATTGTTGGTGAAAAGTGGGGACAGAATCGTCCATCATGCAAGCCTTTGCACAGCTTTAGATGGAGTAAGCATGTGGGAGCTTGACAAAAATACAGCTCTTGCCTTCATCATGTGCTGTGTACACACAATGGCACACAACAGTTAACACAATCATTTTTGAAGACATAGGTCTTTTCAATCTTTGGATCTTTTTGACAATTTTCCACGCGTATGGCTCTACCAATAGTTCACATTACGTGTCGTTACTGTCCCCACTTTTCATTCACAGTGCACCATGGTAAACATTGTGTTACATCATTGTGTTTCAGGTCAATTAAGGAAGTCAAGGCATCGTGTCTTACTAGGATTTTATATCAGGGCTACCCTCATAGCTATTTTGTTGAGAGTAAAGCCTACAACTAGAACATTCAAAATTTTATGCTGTTGCTTGGCAGTGCAGCCCAACTACAAAATGGTGTTGGCTCCATGTTTGTTTTGATCTGCTTTCTTCAGATGAGCCAAATTTCAACCTTTTTGTGAATCCATCATGGGGCTTAAACCAAAATAATCTCCCTTACCACACAAACTTAAGGTACTGTGTGTGATATGAGCTTTTGGGATTAGTAATGGTCATTTTATTTATTGGCTAGCCCAGGTTGGACGACATCTACATTGCATTGCAACTAACGTCGAGGGTATAAAAGTCCTCCTACTGTTCAAATTTTTTTCAACAGTTTTTCTCACATTTTTACCAGACGAAGACAACTCAAATTATCGTTCACAAGTGCCTTGTATCCCGAATTCCATGAATGCTGTGAAATTACTAAATATGCCCGCGGGCAACGTATTTTGCAGAAATTCTATGAAACTCCATGCTTTCCGTTGCGATTCATGAACGATCTACGTTCGTGCGGTAGTATGCATTTACACATGCACGAAATGACACGCAGACAATAGACTTAGCTGTATCTTTGGAAGCCCGTTTGGACAAGACCTTATCTGAGACTTCTTGATATGCCCATGGTTCTTTCGCGCATGCGTAAGGGGGCACTCGGTTACTATGCATTTCTCACATGTGCGAGTATACGCGCTAGACGAACGTGTATGTACATGTAGATTGTTAACGAATCGCCGTAGACAGAAGGCGTGGACTTTTGCAAAATTTCCTGCAAAATACGTTGTCCATGGGTGTGTTTAGTAATTTCAACACAGCATTTATGGAATTCAGGATACAAGGCACTTTTGAACAATATTTTGAGCTGTCTTCGTCAGGTAAAAATGTGAAACAAAAAAATGTTGAAAAAAATTTTGTGTAGTAGGAGGACTTTTATACCCTGGATGTTACTTGCAATGCAACATAGACATCGTCCAACCTGGGCTATTTATTGGCTGAATATTTTCAAAACATTTACTGCTTTTCAGAGTATTCATTTTGAAATAGTTGTGTTCTATTTGGCATCTAGCCCGAGAGCAAGAATGCGTTGCAAACTTTATGGCTGGGGAGGAATGTAATTAGAAAAAAAAAACACAAATACAGAGGTAACTTTTTGTTTTCTCCCTCACACACACTCAAAAAGGTGGCTCTATTTTAAACTTGAAAGGAAGATGCTAATGAGCCATCATATAAGTGGATTTTTAAATAGAAAGTGATTTGGTTGTCACTTTCAATGTAATATAACTTGCATGAAAATGCTTTATTTTCATACCCCTTCCTCCTGTTTCTGTAGAGATTTGAAAACTGCCAATGTATTTTTAACTAAGGAGGGCACTGTCAAGATTGGAGATTTTGGCATCTCAAAAGTGATGTCTTCAAATAATCGTGGTGCTAGTACAGTGCTGGGAACACCTTACTACATTTCACCAGAGATAGTGAGTACAGCTAACTGCTTTATTTTTAATCTGTATGCCCTAATGTGCAAAATGAGACACTAGACATACAATGTTGTAAAGTCACAGTTATGGTTGAAAATGGGCAAGAATTATGAGAAGAAAAATAAAAATGCTGAAGCTTTTTGCAATTTATTGCACAATGAGATGTTCAACTATAGCAGATTTTTGTCAGTTGTGCATGTATGCTTTATTTCAGTGTGAGGGCAAGCCCTACAATGAAAAATCAGATATCTGGGCTCTTGGCTGTATACTGTATGAAATGGCATGTTTGCAGAAAACATTTGAGGGAACAAATTTGCCAGCATTAGTCAACAAGATCATGAAGGTATGTCCATTCATTTCGAACTGCTCATCATTCTCCTACATGGGGGGTAAAGAAATGCATGTAATAATTCTCCTAAAGTAACATTCAAATAATATTCATATCGATATCCTCACAGCTAGACTACTATGTAATGCAGTATTGTAAGGTTATGATTCAAATGTTAAAGCTCGCAGTCAACAAATTATGGTCAATGTTGTCATCATTAAATACATGTTGCAAACAAAGCTTGATATACTTTTGTATTGTTCAAAGACTGGAGAAATTCCTATGTTAGCAGCCATCAATGTTGATGGCATCAGCCCAATTATTACTTATTTTAAGATTCTTTTGGTTTATTGGATTTATGCTACTTTGTACAAGGTGGTTTTTCTTCCCAACAACCTATGGTGGTAACATATCTGGGAAGTTTGTATTATTTATTCATAACTGTCACCGAGGAGTTCGTGTTTGTCCTTTATCAGTATCTGATGTTTACCTCTGATGCCCCTAGGAATGAATGTTTTAGTCAGTTGTATAAAGTTCAGTATGTCAAATTGTCAACAGGGACAGTTCACTCCTGTGAAGGGAAACTACAGCATTGAATTCAGAACACTTGTGCAAGACTTGCTGCAGAGAGAACCAGAATATCGCCCATCAGCTAATGAACTAGTAGTTGCACGAATTCCTGTCATGATGAGCAAATATGAAGAAAGTGTAACAGATGCTGAAGATGACCAGCAAACCTCAGAAAGTAATACAACCAAAAGACAGAGAGCAAGGTATGTTTTAACTTTTAATCCTTAGTCACGTTGACTTACATGGCAACTGTACATGGTGCTGGTTGAACTGGTTATCATTATTGCCAATGATGGACACATCATACATATACCCTGTTCTGTCTGTGTAAATGGGACAGAGTGTGTGCAGCTTTGAGCAGGTTTGATAAAGAACTATAAATTGTATTATGACTGACTAAATCATGGTTTGACTGAAGGCCAGCACGCGGGACTATCTAGATAGAGTGCTGTGTGTCTGGGGATCCCCCATGCCTGGCCTCCTTCCCTCAGTAGCTGTCCCACAGATATAGCTCTTATGCTGCATTCTAAACATACACATGTATAACTACTCATATTTGTGTAGTTTATTACTCATTTTTAATTTTCATGTATCTTTTTCTTATAGGATAAGTAAATGTAAATTGCCCTGAGATTAATTTAAAAGGAGGCCTTTGCCAAATCCATTTTATTATTATTATTATTAGTCTTGTGCCTACAGTCCTTGTTAACAAGAGTACTGTTAAAAACATTCTGCTTATAACATGAAGTTTTTTGGTCCCAGTCCTTTGTTTTTCAGTGTTATTTTTCCTGATAAATGAAGTTCTTGTCCTGATAAGGTCATCTGCAAAGTCCAAGAGACCTCGTATTAAACAGGGTTCAACTGTATACATTTGGCTGCAATTGAACTTACTAGGCATGCTTAACCGTGTGCTGCGAAGAAATCCGGTTTTGGTACCTTGGGTTTGTACGCATAGCCGAGGTGCCCGAAATCAGACAAAAGAGCTGGGTCTTGTAACAAAAGAGCATACTCAGAACAAAAGACTGAGCTGTTGGGAATTGCCAACAGTTTTTCAATTATANGCAAGCTCTCGGACAAGAACTGAGCATACAGTGCTTATTAATATACATTGGGTAAGGGCAGAACCGTTATATATAATTAACATCTCCCCAACGCAAAAATACATCTTGAAAACAGTTTTTCAGTTGTCAATAACGGAGGAAATCCGTCATTGCTATGGAAGATTATACCTCTGTTTGTGGCATTCAGTGCGAGTGGATTACCACCGGGGACAAAAGTGCTCCAGCGATGAGCGATATAATACCACTGCACACTAATCTGGCCCCTATTGAAAAGATGCCAGCAGCGCACTGTGCCAGTTTCAGGAACAAAAGAAACTGATGTAACATCACACAATCTGGGCTCTCTTTATACAAGGCAGCAGGCAATAGATATTGTCTATCATAGTAGAGTAGCCTCCAGACAGGCACTCGATGGGGTTTAGGCCTTAAGGAAAAAAAGATAAAAATTTTGGAAGATTTTTAAATTGAAGATATTGAAAAATTGCCCGTATGTTGGCACTGCATTTTCAAAAGCACCCAGCAGCAAGTGGGTAATAAAATGAGGTCCTGAGGATTAGCACCCGCGAGTAAGCAAACCAAGCTATAGATCACTGAGAAGTATTCTCTTGCATATGGTGATTATTTAGTGCAAAAGGAGTGCAGCTGCACTAACATTCAAACTTGCAGTCAGCATTTTGACACTGAATGAAAAGATGACATGATATTCAGGATCTTACCATAAATCATTTATCCATATAAAATGGTCAAGCTAAATTCTCTTATATAGCCATATATATCAGCCTTAAATGACATTTTCGTTTTGTAAGTTCTTTCTATTTTAGGCAACAAAATTAACATTAACTTGCTGTATGTGCCTATATCTGCCATCTTTGTTTTAAGTGTTCTCCATCCTTTCCCCAGAAATTGAGAGTGAGAATCCTGTTCATGAACAATGTTCGCATGTTGATTTACGTCATTCAAAACCCTGTTCTCAAATACACCCATTCGGTGTTCCTGTCATATTGTCTGGCCTATCAGCACCCACAGAAAAACCCACAGGGTTTCTGTTGTGCCATGTTAAACTTCCTGCAGCCCAGTTCCCGTGCTTTTTTTCTTGGCAATGTGCCAAACTTTTTTCCGCTGCTGGCAGCTGTTTTCTGAGCACATAACATCTGTATGGATGGCTGGAGTTACAAAAACCAGGAACCCAAAGCTTCACATTGTGTAGTATTTATGAACAAATTTCTACCCTTTTCTTGAGACAGGCTCCTTTTATGTCTGTCATTTTAATCAGCGATCTGTAAATAATGTGGTTGGAATATTTTTCAAAGGTTTCCACAAGATTTTGCCTTAAGATACCACTAGGCCTAAAGTTACTATACTTTGCCCTGTAATTATTTTTCTGTTGCAGTTCTTGAGCCCTAATGGACTTTGCATACATGTGCTTTTGGGGGTTGTGCAATTACTTGTCATAATTCCTTTCATTCAGGAATCATCTAATTTTCATAGCTTTTACCACTTTGATAAGTTTTATTGGTTTGTGCAGATGAGCTAATGGCAGAGATTAACATTTTAGTGAATGATATTTAAATATTTAGCTTGCTTGCAGTTAGCCACCTCTTGTTGAATCTTCAATTTATCTGCGATGTGAAAGTCAACTATTAAAAGGACACAATGTTGTCCTTTTCATACCATTTCTAGCTGAAAACGTCACTCCTTTGCTTTGTTGTTGCAGTCGTTGCGCCAAGTTTGCAAACATGTGAGCATATTTATTGTATTCTTTGAATCCTTGCATGATAGCCCAAGTGTATTTTTTGACTGGAAACCGATTATTGAATATGCAGCAGATAACAATGGCCATTTCACATGGAAGCTTCAAATGCACAAATTGCATGCTGTTATTTGAATCAATATCAATCAAATAAATGTCCACAAACTGAAATTAGCAAATATATGTAATCCACACCTGTATGTTTTGACAATAAAGTATGATGTTAGAGGATGGTAACTGTTGTAAACAAACTGTTAAGGAAACATTGACAAAATATAAGGGTTGAATTCTTTGCATGAGCATGCTGTCCTGGAAACCACTGGTCACTCATTGGCATTTGCCAGGTTGGGATCAAGGAACTTTCTATGATAACTAATGTGTTAACTGAGTTGCCATAATGTTAGCTATTTATATAGTGGCGGGTGTTTTCCCATGCCTAACCTAAGTTCAAGGGGTGTAGTCAAAAACCAGTTGGGGTCTCAACTCGAGCCTAAACTGAGGTTCCTCCTTGGTCCAGAGATTACTCAGAATGACCTAAAAGCTAAGGGAGCAGATCCGTTTTGGTAGGAAATACCCCTGATTATGATGACTATGATGCTCTCTGCCAATTAGACAATACACAACAATAAAGACTCCTGACTATTTAGATTGCCGGTAACCTCAAACAATGTGCTTTATCATACCGTGAATTATCATTTACCAGAAAACATGAGTTCAGTAGCCTGAACTCAGGTTTTCTGGCAGGTTGAACCAGGATTTCAGGCATGTCTTATTAACTACTGTTATCGCCCTCGGGGGATTTTATTGCAAGCTAAGTGCAAAACCACAGCTGGGGCAACCACAGCTTGACTGAGTGGCGAGTAAGCTTTGCCTATAGTTTTCTCAACACGCATCCAGTTTCAAGAACGTTGACGTCAATGTGGCATTCCAGTTTGACCAACGAATAAAACCACATTTTCCCGTTTTGATCACTTAAATTGGTATTCAAATGCCTGAGTATTTGAACCGTGGAGTTGTTTGTCTGGGCCACAACTTACTGAGCACGCATGTGTAAAAAGCCACCTTGTAAGTGCATAAATAACACTATGCTATAGTTGCTTCGCATGATATATTTTAAAATATAATTGAAGTATTAAAAAAAGTGATGCTTGTCTGTGTGCACATTCTGACTTTAATTGTTCAAAAATTCTCAATGAATATAGTGGACATAGGCCATTGATCTTGAAGTTGGACTATATTTTCTTACAGACGTAAACAGCAGTGACGTTGCCAAATACATCATGTGCATGAATGAAGGCATCACGTGTCTTAAGTCGTACCTTCAATGTAAAAATAGTCATTTTTTTGATGGGTTACCACTCAGGATGGTGTCTGTGAGGGTATTTGAGTAAAAGTAATGAAATATGGCTGAAAGTCTCATTATTGGGAAAATGATTCAGGCAGTAGATGACTTGGGATGATGGGAAGATGTAAAGATAAGAAACTTCGATGGCACTCAGTACTTGGTTGCCTTCTATGGTTGGGATTTTGGAGAGTGGAACTGATGGTTTTCATCCGAGGAGGCCAATCAAAGTATGTAGTAAACTTCGCTGTCACGGGATACAATAACTATCGTGGCGGGATCGTTCGACTAAAACCAATCTCCCATCTTAACCCAAATTCTGCAGCTCGCCTCCTCTGGGGCACACAAAAGCGCTTTCTGTCCAACAATAAATTTCACATCATGCAATGGCAGCTTCCCTCACTGGAGGAGGTATGTGGGGGGAGTTGCAAGGAAAATGATTTACAAGTGAACGTTGATGTTTAATGTATGAAGCCATGACAACAAGTGGCATTCCCAGAACTTGCCCTGGTTCTTTTCACACGCTCCCACTGAACCTGATATGCTGATTACCTATCAAATACCCTACTGGGGTCACCAGTCATAGTCGCACTCTTATTGACCTGATATTTGTTGATAATTCTGATGCTCACACTGAAAGTGGCGTCTTTTGTACGAGCATCATTGTCCATTTTTAACTTATACCATTAGATGTCCAATCACAACACCAGTTCTGAGGTGAGTTAAACGCAAACACAGAAATATTGAATTTAGGTCATTTAAGAACATAAATAAAGAGGAACTTATTGAGAACCTAACTAATATTCATTGGGATGTTATAGATGAGATAACTGATGTAGATTGTGCTTTGCAAACCTGTTATACCATGTTTATGGATGTTATTAATAATCACGTTCATGTTCCCGATATCATGAAGAAGGCTCTTGTGCTACCATTGTACAAATCTGGTGATAAATCTAAGGTTGAGAACTACTGTCCTATCTCTGTGTTACCTACATTAAGTAAAATTTTAGAACGAGCAGTTTATGAGCAGAAGTATGGATTTATAAA